CCTTCAGATGTTTCAAAGGGCTTTCCCCGACATTGGAGGAAGCCCTTTGAAAGCTCCAAAGGCAGCGGAGCCAGCGGAGTGCCAGGAGGCTACACCTGGCCGGGCACCTGGCCGCTTGCCCCTGGTCGCGCAGAGCCAGCAGAGCGCTGGGAGACTTCGGACTGGTAAGTCCTTTTTAAAAAAAACTTTTCTGTGTGGGTTTTGGAGGGTGGGTTTGGACTGGGGGGTTATGTTTCTGTGGTTTGTGTGTGTGTGAGCGTGTGTGTGTTTTGCAGTCCCAATGTGGGACTTTGTATTTTTTTTTAAATGTTGGAACAGATTAATTCTGTTCCCATGTATTTCAATGGGAAATGGTAGGTCGACTTATGAACCTTCCGAGGTATGAACATCCTCCCAGAACGGATTACGTTTGTAAGTTGAGGGCCCACTGTATATATCACAGCAATTTTGAGTCTTCTCTAGACATCAACCAAGTGATGAAGAAAGAAGTTGTAAATTTCTAAGGCCATCTTAGAGTGACCTTGGAAATCTGCAGGGCAGGAAGACACCCTATGGACCATCAAGTCCAGCTCCTATCTAGGATGCATAGTGGGGAATCAAACTCCCAACCTCTGGCTCTGTAGCCAGAGACCTAAGCCACTGAGCTATCTAACAGTTGCCATCCTGGCAAAATATTTATTCTTTAGCACAGTTCCCTTTATTATTATCTTTTGCTCCTCTTACTTCAAAACTTATGCTCCAATGCTACAAGTGCAATTAACAAATACCTTGCTACATACTATGCACGATACCCAAAACAAATCAGTAAGAAACCCTACCAAACAATGCAAATGTTGATAGATTACTTAAAGTCAGAGAATATGAAAAACTTTTGATCAAGCATTTTCAAAGACTTCTTATAATCTTACCCTAAATAATGGAGATCAGAAAAGATGAAAGTTTTATTGACGTCAAATCCACATGCTATAATATCCTTGATATTTTCTATAGCATACTGGTAAGCTTTTTCTACTGTCAGATCTTTCCACAGATATTTTTCGTCATCCGTCAGCTGTATGACTAGGGGGACATTAAATACTTCCTGTAACCACCTAGTAAAAAGTAAAACAGACCTAGTTAGAACATTGTTGTGAGTTACAATTAATCATGAGTTAACATCTTTATCCCTCTTGAGTATGTAGTATCAGCTACAATTAAAATTATTAATGCGTTATTGGAAATTTATTTTCTCTGATCACAAACTTCTAAATTTCTTAATTTTGAAGATACGGTTTGGCATACCTGCATGTGGATGAAAATCCAGGGGGCTAGAGCAAGCTCCTTGAATAAGCCTAAGCACATCTCTGATCCCAGCCTATGTTTTTATCAGTGTGAAATCATGCCGACTGAATCAGATCCAAGACTGAAACAGCAGCACATTATATATGTTCTATCCTTTGCTTTTATACTTGAAACAAGAATCTTGATTCCCCCTTTCATTCTTCACTTAAGACTCAAGCGGCGGCATCACATTCCAAAGCCAGTTCATTGTTCTCTGAGAAGCTGTGGAGTTCTTGTCATTTGGGTTTCCCTATCCACTCATTTTCTCTCTTGAGAGTCCCCTGGACTGAGAAGAGAACAAACCTATCCCTTTTGAAGGAAATCAACCCAGAGTGCTCACTGGAAGGACAGATCCTGAAGCTGAGGCTCCAATACTTTGGCCATCTCATGAGAAGACTCCCTGGAAAAGACCCTGATGTTGGGAAAGTGTGAAGGCAAGAGGAGAAGGGGACGACAGAGGATGAGATGGTTGGATAGTGTCATCGAAGCTACCAGCATGAATTTGACCCAACTCCAGGAGTCAGTGGAAGACAGGAGGGCCTGGCGCGCTCCGGTCTACGGGGTCACAAAGAGTTGGACATGACTTAACGACTAAACAATAACAACAATCCACTCATATTTATGCATTTGCATTCTGTAGTGCCCACTTTAAGGGGATGGGCTGCATAACCCCCTCTCACTGGCTGCTAAATGATCCTGAGAGGCTAAATGATGTCAAAGGGCAAGGCCTCCCTAAGGAGATGTGCATAGCATCCATTTGCTACTCTGTCTTAGACAGTAAAATATTCCTGTCCAGTCTACTATTGCAAACGGGGACATGCCTTTTATTTCTGCTTGTGAAAGGTGCTTCTTCCTGATTTTGTTGGTTTCTCCTTGTAACTTAAGCTCGCTTGCTTCTTCCCACACTATTCAGAAAGGCCCTCCAAACCTCCACAGATTCTTTTCAGGGAGAATGGTGGAACAGGAAAACCCTCCTCTGTAAACTTTCTTCTGTTTTAAGCTTTAAGAACTCAAGCCCCACTTCTCTGCATTATAACTACTGAATATCCAGTGGTAATATCAGCAGTTTTTCAAATTAGAACTACATAATATGAAATAGATGTGATTAACAACAGAGTTACTTACTTAGTAAAAATAAATGGGATAAGATGGCCCACGTGTATTGCCTCAGATGACGGCCCTCTGCCCGTATAAAGGTAAAATGGCTTCTTATTTTCATAGGCATCAAGAATTTGGTTCATATCTCTAGAGAGAAACAAGCAAATATTGTATGCTTTGAAAAAGAGCTGGAACCAACGAAAAGGAATAACAAGCGCTAAAAGTCAGAAGTAACAAGTTTATGGTTGTAATTTGTATTTTAAAGAAAACAGTATACAGTGGTGCCTCAACTTACGAACTTAATTGGTTCTGGAACTCCGGTTGTAACTCGAAATGGTCATAAGTCGGGACATTCGTAAGTCGAGGCACCACTGTACTGTATTTTAGACACTGCAATATATTCATATAGGTGGACCAAAGCAATAGACATTCCATCATTGAAAAATGAAGAACTATGTAAAAGTCCTCTGCTTTCTCTGTTTAATGATGTGTGTGAAACAGAACACAGTGCAGTAGAATATTACATTAAAAAGGAAATTTACTTTTGCTTGATTGAAGCAATCCTTCAATAAAACATACCACACCTGTGAGAAAAGAAAATGCCTCTGCGTAAGAAATGATGTGGTTTGTGACCCGTAACTCTCTCTATCCGATTGATGAGATCCTTATCAATTTTGCTGCTTCCAAATCGAACTGAGGAGAACCAGAACAGAGGATAGATTATACATGTGCTTGTTTTACAAGTAATGATACCATACACTAGATACTGAAACCAGGTTTAGCCATATGACACCTGGTTTCAGCACCACTGTAGATACACTAAAATAACTGCAACACACGTTGGTTGTGATTTACTTAAGTCCCAATTGGTACCCTTAAGGACAACAAAATCTGGACCTATCCTCATATAATTACAATCTTTTTTGAAAAGAGTAACAGGTACAAATTAAACAAATGCACAAAACCTAACTTTATACTTTTTTGTTTTTTTCTCTTTCTCCAAAACTGCAAGTCACTTCTGCTTCTTGAAAAAATGCCTCCACTAGACCTCAGAAGCAATTCACTCCCATGGCAAAACTCAGGAGGAGCCTTCCCACCATGGTAAAAAAAACTCCTTCATGCAGTCACTTCAAGGCACAAAGGGGCTTTTTTAGTTAAAAGACGTGCTTAAGAAAAATATTTTTCAAAATTGTGGGGCACAGTTGTTGAGGCCATCTAGGCTTCAGGTGTAGGTCCGTGCAATTGCCAGATTTCTGAAAATTCCCATGCCTCCCCTAGAATTAAAAAATCTACTGACACTCCTTCTTACATCAGCATTTTCTCAACAAAATCAATTGTTCTATGCAAATATTTTGGAGTTGAAAGCAGATGATAAACTTGACACAGATCTGTATCTGAAGTGGATTCCATTGGCATCTGGAGAGGCACAGTTTCTCATTCCTTGTCTTAAGAAAATGGGAGATTTCACAAATTATTATTATTTAAAAACAGATAAAGCAATCTTTACCTATAAGCTTATCATAATCAACTCCTTTTGCATTTGATGTCTGTACTGTCCAAGGGTCTACAAAATCATCTTCTTCAGCATTGCCTGGACCATTACTGACTGGAGTGAAATCTGTTGGAGGGGAACCTGCTTTATATTCGTGGCCTGTTGCGGTTTTATAGCTCATCTTTAACGACAACAATAACTTAACTGCTGTATCAATTTCATCCTATTGTAAAATACAGGAGAGAGAAAACATCGTTCAGGTTAATAATGTTTAATGGCTTTCCAAGTACTAACAAGCATTATACAGAATAGGAAATATTCAACAGGCCTGAAAATTAAGTTATGCAGATAGCTGTATAACTGGATTCTACAGAAACAAATACTTCCTCTAAATTTTAAGAACCAACTTTAACTTGATTACAAACACCGATAAAATTTTCACTAATTAAACAAAAGTTTACCTTTGGTGCTTTCTCAGTTTTTAGGGCTCTAACTTTTTCTCCTTGAGTGGTTACTTGTTCATACAATTCAAGTGGATGAAGAGAACAAAAATCACCCATCTGAACATTTGCCATTTTCAGGAGGATGGAAGGGACTTTTCTATTTACAATTAACAGGTTCTTTTATTCAAAAAACTTCAGAATAGCCTGGAGCACTCTAGAAAATGGAAAACAATACACATTTTAATATTCTATGTCGGACATTATTCTCATTTAGAACACAGAGTAAGAGTTAAGTTTTGAAATTTATCCTTTTCTTTGAAACCTTAGAATGTGCCAATCAGGTCATTCACCTAGTAGGGATTTAGAGCTAGAAGATGAAGTTCTTTCCAAAAGTCATATTAAAAAGTACCGTGTTTCCCTGAAAATAAGACAGGGTCTTATATTAATTTTTGCTCCAAAAATGCAGTAGGGCTTATTTTCAGGGGATGTTTTATTTTTTTTTCCATGTACAACAATCTACATTTGTTCAAATACAGCCATGTTATCTTCTGGTTGCTGCACAATGCTGGAGGGCAGGGTTTCACTTAACTGGGGCTTATTTTCAGATTAGGTCTTATTTTCAGGGAGACAGGGTAGCTACAGAACAGAGCTAATATCTTAAGAATTAGACATGACATGTACACAAAAACTTGTTTGCACAAAGTCAGGTCACAGATTTAGTCATTGAGGGCTGATGTTTCCTGGCATGACCTCTTCCATCCTTTTGAGTCAATGCTGCTTCAGACATCATTTGATACTCCAACAACCCAATCGTACTCATGTTTACTTGGAAGTACAGTATATCACAAAAGTGAGTCCACCACCTCACATTTCATAAATATTTTAGTGTATCTTTTCATGTGACAACTCTGAAGAAATGACATTTGGCTACAATGTAAAGCAGTGTATAACAGTGCAAATGTGCTGTCTCCTCAAAATAATGCAACACACACCCATTAATGTTTAAACCGCTGGCAACAAAAGTGGGTTAAACCCCTAAGTGACAATGTCCAAACTGGGCCCAAGTACAGTGGCTGTTTTCCCTCCCTGGTGTCATGAGACCCGTTAGTGTCATAAGTTTCAGGTGTGAAGGGAGAGCAAGTGTTATCACTCTCACTTTCTCAGACTGGTCACTGGAAGTTCCACATGACACCTCATGGTAATGAATTAGCTGAGGATCTTAAAAAATGAATTGTTGTTCTACATATAGATGGTCTAGGCCAGTGATGACAAACCTTTTTGATCCCGATTGCCCAAACTGAAAAAACAAACAAAAAGCAAAAAAACAGCGGGCAGCAAGCAGTGGCGGTGGAAGGGGGAATCCTGGGCACAGAGGTGCCTCCATACCCCATTCCTGATCCACCTCCAGTCGTGCCCTATCCCATCAGCTGCTCCGGATCCTGGCCCACCACCTGTTGGGTGGTAGCACTGCAGTTGCACCCGTCTCCTCAGGTTTGGCTGCTGGGAGTAGTGACTAATGGATCGTGTGCCCGCAGCGAGGGCTCCACATGCCAGCTGTGGCATGCGTGCCATAGGTTTGCCATCACTGGCCTAGGCTATAAGAAGATTGCCAAAACCCTGAAACTGAGCTCCAGCACAGTGGCCAAGACCATACAGCAGTTTAACAGTACAGGTTCCACTCAAAACAGGCCTCACCATGGTCGACCAAAGATGTTGAGCGCCCATGCTCAGCATCATATCCAGAGGTTGGCTTTGGCAAATAGATGTATGAGTGCTGTCAGAATTGCTGCACAGATTGAAGGGGTGGGGGGGTCAGCCTGTCGCACACTGCATCAAATTGGTCTCCAGGGCTGTCGTCCCAGAAGGAAGCATCTTCTAAAGATGATGCACAA